GGCAGTTAGTGGCGCTTGACAGGCAGCCTGGGCCATCACAGGAAGACAGGCAGGTGCCAGGGAAGGCCGGTCCCACGTACACTCTGCAGGATGGTCTCGTGTTTGATAGAGGCACACAGAGAGAGGAACTCTGGGTAGAGCCTGAGGTGCTTGGTGGCTAGAAGTGGGCACTGGCAGACCTCAAACAAGCGTCAGCGCTCCAGCAAACACCCTCTCATCCTTGGGAACTGGTCCAAGCTGGCAGAGGCTGGCAGGGTGGAATGTGGTGATCTCCAATTCCAGGAAAGAGCTGAGCAGTTTTTGATAAAGTCACCAAGAGAGGCTTTAGAATGGGTGACGGAGCCACCTGACAAGCAAGGTGGTAGTTATAACCAAGACGGCTGGTCAGTTAAATCTGAATCACTGAGACATACTAATAGCCAAGGTGTAACGGGGAAAAAATTCTCAGCAGCATTGATCATTAGAGAATCTAAATCAACACGACAAGAAGATATCAGTTCACCCGGGCTCACATGTCTGTGATCAAAAAGTCAAGAAGCCACAATGCTGGTGAGGCCGTGAGAAACCAGAACCTGAGGACATGGTTGATGTGAATGTAAATGGGTGTAGCTGTGGTGGAAAACATCCAGGGGTCCTCAAAACACCGAACTCAAAACAGTGGGTGACCCAGAAGCTCAACCATCATAAAGTATGAAAGGAAATAAAATCAATGTGCCCAGGAGACACCTGTGCCCCACGCTCTCCATCTGACACGGGGTTAGAATCCAGACTGTATAAGGAAACTCCGGCATCTTAACAACAAGAAACAAAAAATCTGATTGTAAAACGGACCAAAAAAAAAAAAATGCTCGTTACAAAACTTTGCAGAGTCACCAAGATAGGGAATCAACCCGAGTGCTCAACAATAAATACATGAACGGATGAAGAAAACGTACCACACGTGGACAGTGGGGTGTTAATTGGGCATCAAAGAGTGAAATCTGCCGTTTGCAGAATGGAGGAACTAAGATGAGCACAGAAAGAACAGCCCTGAATGGCCTCGCTCATCTGTGCAGCCTAAGACCTGATGTCTCAGAGGTAGACCATAGCCCTTGGTTTCCGGAGGCTGGCAGGGGCAGGGGTGAGAATACGGTGAGCTTCGTCACCGGCATAAAACTCATGTAGAAGAGAGGAATAAATCCTGGTGTTCCCACAGCAGTGCGACTCCAGTTAACAAGATGTGTTGCGTTTTAAAATAGCCAGAAAGAGAGGGTTTCAAGTGATCTTGTCACAGAGAAATTACTCATGCTTGAAACCATAATATGCTAATTACCCTGGCTAGATTGTTACACAAGATAAATACGTCTACAACACTAAACTGTATGCCATAAATATGTATAGTTAATATATGTCAAAGACAATACTGAACCAAGTCAAAAACACAGGAGCCTTGGCCCAAGGACGAGAAAGGGAGAATGCAAGCAAGACAGTGTTGCAAGCCTCCTGAACTGTTTCTGCACTCAGCAGAGACATTTCACCTGTGAACAGTGACACTGGACGCTTCCTCTGTGCTGATGAAGACACACATTTCATTGCTTCTGTGGCTTAGAGAAGGAACATTTAAGACACGTGAGCTGAGGCTACATTGTATGTCGCTGCCAGTACTACTTACATACATAATTCAACCTCTGTTTTCATACCCATGAGACATCACAGATGGCGGCGCTGAGGCTGTCCTTTCATTTCCCAGTCCCCTTGACCATGTCCACCTCTGCAAGAGGCATCCAGGGAACCCTGTGGGTCTGAAGTCCGGGAGGAGACAGGTGTGGTCAGCTTGTGCAGACCAACCTCCTTCGAGTCACAGCCAGAGAAACCTCTGAGGAACTAGAGAAGGGTGCTTCACTTCAAGAATCCAGAAATCACAGGCCTGGAGACTACGGACCTTCACAGAGAACAAGGCCAGCATGTGCCAAGCCCTGTGTTCTGCCTGCAGCACTAGGAAGGAAATGTGGGCAAAAAAGTGTATTCCTTATCTCAAAGAAAGAAAGAAGGGAGGGAGGGAGGGAGGAAGGGAGGGAGGGAAGAAGAAAGAAGGAAGGAAGGAAGGAAGGAAGGAAAGAAAGAAAGAAAGAAAGAAAGAAAGCATAAACTTCAAGGACTGAAGCTAGAGGTCCTAGGACAACAAATAGCCCACCCCACTCTACCCCGGTGCCCTGGCCTTTTCCGGAAAGGCAAGGTCTGGTGAGGTTGCCTGGTCTGGATTGTAAGACCGCTCTAGCAGGGGCATCTTGTTTGGCAAGCACAATGCACTTTTAGAGATTTTAATCAGTTGCCAATCTTTGAAGATCTGGCGGTTTCATATTAACAAATTGAAAGCTAGACTCCTGGCTCCCTTTGGCAGAGCAGGCTAGCCTGAATTTGTCCTCCATGGTTAACTCCATCTCAGCACTTTGCCTGACCCTGCAGCCACAGGCCTGGCCTTTGGAGGCACAAACAGGCATCTCACAATCCCTTTCATTTCATTTTTACCCAGAGAGCTCCCAAAACAGATCCATCCCTGGGCTCAGGCCAAGTGAGTTAAAATCTGAGCTGGGAAATGACCTGGGCTTTAGAAGGTCTGAAGCCAGGGTTAAGAGTAGCTGGTCCTGAAAGGGTTAAGAATGGCTATGAACAGTGGGTGACACCTCATTTTCTTCTCGCTGCTCCTAGGTGGTGAACAGCCCCATTTTAGAATCCCTTTGTCAGATGCAACCAAAATCTGGTTTTCCTCGCTCCCTTCTCCCTGACCCATTTGGGTGTAGTTAAGTTACTTCTCTTTTTCTCCCTGAAACAGCCTTGGGTTTTTGTTTGTTGGTTTTTGGCTCTCTGCCCCACTGTTTTGGCTGCCCCAGTCTCAATACCCATTAATCCCTCCACATTTCCTCTAAAGAGCAGGAACTCTGGGAATAACACCCATTTATTCTACTGCAGAGGTCAGTAGGCAGGCTTATCTCTGGTTCTGTGTCACATGTAACGTCTCTGACCACATCCGTTGGTTCCCACAACATTTTAACTTAGACATAATCTGATTTTTATTAACAAGGAACTGAAACCATACCATTGGATTGAAAATCAAGATTTGGTGAAAATTCAAGCCCCAAATACCAACTCTGATTTTGGGGGTCAGGACCATAATCCCATACATAAAATTAAAGGGCCCACGTGTATATCCATAGTAGTTTCAGTTCCTTATAAATATAGACTAATTTCTAATCAATTGAGTTTCTAAGCTATATTTGGTTGCTGTTTTTTTGAGTGTTAACTCCCTCTTCTTACCCCACCCCCATTTTGTTTGCTTTCTCCTCCTGTCCTGCTTGCTCTTATTAAACCAACCCTTAAAGGTCAGGCTGACAAAAGCTGCCCCAGGTGAAATGGAATTGGAAGGTCAGCCCAGACCTTAGCCTGTGTCTTAAAGTGAGCTGGAGATTGCTTTCTGTGTCCCGGTTATGCCTGAGGAGATAGGTGTGGACCTGGAAGGTTCCAGAACTGGGTCATGGCTAGCATCCCCAACCTGTCTTGGATCTGTGACACCTTCTAGGGAGGGCCTTGTCCTCCATGGCCCACACTCCGGGATGCTGTAAGCTGGACTCAAGAAATCACAGGGAAGCCAGCCTCTCACAGAGACCGCAGGAGACAGCCGGAGACTGGGCCAGGCAAGAACTAGATGGCAACATCAAATGGCAGCCCAGTCTCAGGACATGGCATTTGGGAGCCACTGGACTGTGCTGACCACTTTTCAGGGGAAAGCCAGATTCCTCAAGACATACACAGGCCGCAGAGAGGCCTTGCATGTTGCCGGGTCTGTAAGGTTGAAAATCTTGCCCCAAATTAAATAGGAAAACCAAATCGAACGCCGAGATTTCCTCTAACAAGCAATGGCAACATCAAACAAAACCCATCACGCCCTTTTACAACATCCACAGTTTGAAAAGAAAGGAGGGGATTTGGGGTCTTTTCATTTGTCTCTAGTCTCCGAAAAATGCTCCCCCCGTAAGAACAAACACTTTGTGCTGGAAAGGGAAGAAGCCAGCTTGGAGCCTGACAGAGTCTCGGAACTCTGAAACCCTACCGGGACCCAGATCCAGGCGCAGTGAGCATGTCACCCAGCTAGGTGGCTTCAGGGAGGATTGCGGCAGTCCCTGCGCAGTGCGCAAAGGTCCCCGCGGGCTGGAAAGCATAAACTATGTCTGATTGCTGTGAACCAACCCTGAAAGTATGACGTCTCGCCTTTCCCAGTCCTAGCCGGCCAGGATTGTGCACCTCGGCTACCTAGGCCCAAATTTCTTTTACGTTGAGTCCACACGTAGAAACGATCCGGACGCGAAGTGCTCCCAACTCCGAGCTCAAGTCCCTCCCGGGATCGCCAGGGCTGCGGCCACCTCCAGATGAGGCGTGGTGACGAGCGTGGCGAGTACCCTCCCCCGCACCACCCCCCTGCATCTCCACCCCTTCCCGGCAGCCGGTCCCCTCTCCCGTCGCCGTCTCAGGCTTCCCTTCGTGAAACCGGAAGCTTTCCGAGCCTGTCGCCTGCCACCGCCGAGTTGTCAGATACTCACCTTTCAAGTGTTTGCCAAAGTGACCGAACGCCAATCAGAACCACGAGGAAGCTCTGCCTGCCGCCTTTTAGGCAACGAGAAAGGAAGGACAAGCAGACGGCCAGCTGGCAGTCCCTTATTTTCCGCGAGCTCCCCCAAAATGCTCCTCGGTGCCGCCAACGCAGCTGCCAGGTTTTAATAACTGTGTCAGACAGCCCGCCCCTCCCCCCAGGAGTCACAGATGACAGGCGGCGGCGGGGGGGGGGGGGGGGGACCAAGTTGGCGCCTTACACTGCAGTCTCCCAGCTTCAGCCATAGAAAAGATTGCACAGGGACCTACCACGCCAAAGTTAAATGCCAAAGAATCCTCCAGAAACCTCGCTTCTTTCCTATTTACTTGGCAGCATTTCTTTCAGGAAACAAGGCGAATGAACCAAAATAGGGGCAAGCTAACCTGCATCTCAAAAGGAAAGGACCTTGTGCGGCTTCCTCCAGCCAGGTTGCTACTTGACTCCTGGACCTTGGTGGGATGTCTTGGGCACCCCGCGATGCGCAACAAGCCCATGCAACTGCGCCTCACGTTTTAACGGCGCACATCAACTCCCTCGTCTGTTCCTAGGACTCTGTTCAACAGGACCTTACTGTGTGGGGACGCTCCGCAGCAGTTCATCCACTTGGACCATTTCCAAAGCGCAAGCGGCTCCTGGAGACAAGCTGGATACACCGAGGCAGGAGGAATCAGCGGTTCGGTTTCGCAAGAGCACCATTAAGGTCGAATATTCCACCCAAAGTAATGTTTTAGAGCACATCACAGCCTAGCGGGCACACCTCTTGGTCTCCCAAGGGTCCTCACCCCAGCTGGCTCCACCCCAGGGCTTTACTCAGGGCGCTGCACCTGCTTCCACTCTGCGGAGTGGTTGCCTTGGAAACCCTGGAGAGCTGGTGCTCCCTGCAGACACTCTGTTGCCCTGACAACAGCGACCCAGCTCTGGCTGTGCCAGGAATAATGTCAGGGGTGCTGCTTTTTAAATACGAGTTCAGGGCTGTGCTAGGGACTGGTTGGTAGAGCAGGGATAAGAAAACAGCGATATTCGGGGATGCAGGCTGAACCTCCGGAGCCTGGGTGGAGTCAGTGGGTACCACTGACTAGCGACACTGTCTCTTTTTATCAATCAAGTTTACACTTGACTGTAAAATACATTTCATATTTCTTTTATTCAGCTTCAGATGCTTAAAGGGGTTTTCCCAGCACCACCTGGCCCCAGGTAGGAATGTTGGAAACAGAGGGAATCCCTCCTGGGGGTGATAGTGAACCATGGATGATGTCTTGGTGTAGACATTCAAGACCTCTGGCTCTGTTGTGCACATGGCTAAAAAGCTTACACTCACCTAGTGGCACGTGGACGCTTCTGTTAAGGAAGTAAGACAGCACCAGGAAGGGTCAACCGGAAGGCAACTTCCGGGGCTGAGGCTACAGACTGTGGAGGCTGGAATGAAGCATGCAGAAGAGCAAGGGAGTGTTTGCACTGTTCTGTTTAAAGTGAGACCATGCAATAAAGGGATAATGTGGAATAAAACATTCAAAGTCACAGATTAGACATCTAGAAAAAAGGGAAAAGCTGGATGACAGCTGGCTTTTTTCTTCTTTTGGTGTCTAATCTGTACCATAGTGAAGCCAAGAGAATATTTTCAAAGTAATGACACAAAATAGCCATTATATTAGTCAGGGTTCTCTAAAGAACAGAACCGAGAGAATGCGTGTTTATATTACAAAGGTTTTTTTTTTTTTATTTTCTCAGGTAACATGGGCTAGGCAGTTCAACAATGGCTGTCTATACACCTGGGAGCCAGAGCTTCATCCCACATGGATGGAGCCGTGTGCACTTCCCTGCTCTATAAGACACTCAGCCTCAAATAGATTGATACAGCCACAGAAAACATTTCAGTACACCCATGCTTCATATGTACATGGCTGCCTTTTGTGTTTCAGGCACCATGAGCTTAGGCCCCTCAGACCGTTTTCCATTTGCCTTGTGAGAGATTACGACTGTGGGAGTTGTCTCATCATGCTTGCTCTCGCCATGAAGGGAAGGTGTTAAGCCGAAAGATTGGATTTTAAGAGTCCTTCTCAGAATTCTGTGTATCATACCACATGACCCAGCCCTTCTGATTCTGGATATTATCCTGAGTGAATAAAACGATACACATGTCAACTTGAAGATTTGTAGGTGGTTACTTATGCCAACTGAAAGCCAGTAGGAGCTCAAATCTAAACTAACTTATAAAACTAACAAATGCCTTTCATTTGATCAGAGATGATCTGAAAAAAAAATTTTCCAAAGGTTAGGGCTGAGGCAGAGTTTCGCTTTTGTCTTTCTAGGAAAATAAAAGCATCTAACGAAGAAATCTAAAGAGCACTGGACAAATGAGACATCACAAGAAAAAGGACGAATCATCATGAAAAATGTCCCAAGAAAGAGAGTAAATTTGTCTAGTAGTGAGCATACTTCCAATGGGATAAAATTTCATAAATCTTCCCAAATATTTGTTTCTGTCGTTTTCTGCAGACATAAGTCATATGGTCTTGCAGTCCCAATTTAATTAAAAATCAAAGCTGACTTTGTTGAAGCGTGGCTCCCTCCTTCTCTAATCCCAAGCATGATGGAATAAAGAAAACCCAAAATCTCTGTCTCATGTCAGAAGAGTCACCTGATATGGGACAGAAGAAAAACCAAGATTTAGGTACGATTCTGTTGCCACTAATGCCATAATCCTTTGGTTTTATTTGTGACTCTTTAAAGCTTTTCTTAAGGTATAAATATTATCTATAAATTTATAAGGTTACCATATATATTTGGACTTTTCGTCATGATATTAATGGCCATATAGAGTACTAACTAAGTCTAGAAATAGGCTTTATCTAGCTTCCTGTATATGGTTTCAGGCTTGAGTGTGAGCAGATAACAAGAATTAAGCTGTATACCTCGGGTGTCTTTAATAGATTGTGGTTCTGTAACCTCTTCAAGATCTGCTGCATATGACATTGAAAATGTTTAAATTTTCTTCAGTGAACTGTGACCATTCCTAACAGTGACTGGTGAAGACTCCAAAAGGATGATTGGGCCGCACAATGACATTTTGTTACCACAATGTTACGCATTGTTACCATCTGGATTGTGGTAATGCCGCTAAGCTAACAAACACCTCCCAAAGGTGCTTTGGACTACAAACTGGTCAGAACAATCTCCAGATGGTTAGCTCAGATGGTTCAGCATCATAGACTAATCCAGCCAGGACTTCAGGTGAGCCTTGCACTCTCTCATCCCACTGAGACTGGACAGCAGCTAGCTCTCTCAGGACTTTGTCTTTATCTTAGTTTTTTTTTTCAGGGTCACCTAAAGGCGCCATTGCCCCCAGACAACAGAAAGTAATTTTAAAAACATGATACCCACATTCCCAAGGGGTGGGGTGGAAGGTTTTTGGCCATTCTGTGGATATTTGTCATTGTTTTTTTTTTGGGGGGGGTAACAAGTTGTTATCGGTCATGGTCAGGGAAGAAATTAAGCAAAGAAAATTAGATTTAGGGATCTTCTTCTGAAAAGAAAAAGGGAGGATATAGAAATGACAGGATAAAGGGTATTGTTGAATCAACTTTCAAACTAAAAAGGAACTGCTAGCATCAAATATTTTACATTGGTATGGATTTTTGTATATTTGATACATATGTACTATATATATTCCTACTTTGGTTTAAGGTATTTTATATATTAATATAAATTTAACATTATTTTTGCTATACTGTAGTATATGTTTCTATTTCTTGTTTAAGATATTGTATCTATGCAGCTCAATTTAAAATATAGTATAAAATTTTAGTCCTTGAAAACTAGCTATGGGTGACCAGAATCAGCCATAGAGGTTTTCAAGGACCCAGGACGTAGAGAGACACAGGAACTAGTGGGGGCCAGTAGAAATATTGGCAGGCATTTGGATGGAGGAAGGGAAAGAGAGGTGGCCACTGGTTACTTCTCTGCTGCCTCTCTGATCAATCAGGTTTTAACCCCATATCTGACCCTCACATTTTTATTAATAATAGAATAATTTAGATAATTGTTACGTAGAATTGAAAGTTGGACCATTAGTTGCCACAATACAGGAACTGATTATTCTAACTGCTCTTGTCTGGCTGGATGCCCAGTGCAGACTCAGGGGGCCACCAAGTGAGAGGAGACAGAGAAACTGGGGGCTGTGTCTGCAGGCTGCTGGCTGCCTGGCCCATTTCCTTCTGTTTCCAGTCTTCTCTGGCCCTGCAGACTCAGGACACTGCTCCATTCCTTGAAATCCCAGGTGGTCCTTTTAAAGCACACATGATTCGATTAACCATTTTTTAAGAGTGTGAATGGTTGGGCAGTGATGGTTAATGCCTTTAATCCCAGCATCTGGGAGGCAGAGGCAGGTGGATCTCTGTGAGTTCAAGGCCTGCCTGGTCTACAGAGTGAGTTCCTGGACAGGCTCCAAAGTTTCATAGAAAACTTGTCTGGAAAAACCAAAATAAACAGATAAATAAATAAAATAGTGTGAGTATCAGGGGCAAAGCCCTTCAGGATCAGGCTGGATGCTAACAGAAGCCAAAGAATTTGGAGGGGCAGGCTGTGGACTCAGAGAGGCAAGGGGGCAAAGGCAGTGAGTAGTTCTCTCCCAAAGAACTAATTAGACTCACCATTTATTTGAACGTGGACTTCAGTCATCTATCTACAAACACTACACGCACTTTCCTTCCAGGTCAAGAACAGGAGCCCAAATCTTTCCTCTCTACTTATCACAACCTCTTAGCTGTAACAAAGAAAAAGAAATCACAGGAGAGACAGACATTTCTCTGCCCATCATGTCTAGCACACCAATCTACGGCCACAAACCATGTATTTGCTCCTTTAAGAAAAAAAAAATTATGTTTGCAAGACTGAGGCTTAAATGCAAGGCTGTTTGTATTCCAGGCAAATACTCAGCCTCTGAGATGTACTCCCAGCCCATCTGGTGGCCGCTTTAACATGTGACATACTGTCCACGGCTACTGTCCACGGCTACTGTCCAAGGCTACTGTCCACGGCTACTGTCCACGGCTGTTTGTAAGCCTGTATCTATGCCCCTCCTCGCAATGAGACCTGAAGTTTCCAGAGGCAATTTGACTTGGGTGGGATCGAATTTATCCCAAGTCCCAAGAGGAGGAATTAATGGTTTTAAACCAACTGTCACTCCTACTGTGCCCTTTAAACACTGGCACTAATGGAATCAGAGACAGCAGCCAGGAGATGTATCTGGGGCTTTGGGGAAAATCAGCCTATTTATCTCACAGCAGTCTGGGCTAGCAGAGACCAGAGCTTTTCCCTAAGTAATGTGAATGGGGATGCAGATTCTAGAATTACACAGCCATTTGTCATGCATGGAGATCCTCACTCCTGGGCTGCAAGCAAGAATCAGGGCTGCTTGGTGTAACCCAAGGATAAAGCCAATTTCATATAAGGCAGAATAGAGAGGGGAGATGCTGACCAGGGCTTAACCCCTTATCCCTGTCTCATGGTCCTGGATCTGATGGCAAAGTATGTGTTCTGAATGAGCTTTCCATGTTCTCCTTACTCTTCTATTGAAATCACCCGGGAATCCGTTTCCCCATCCAACCAGAGGTCATGAAAAGCTCCCTCGGTAACTGAACTGCTGCCCCGAGAACCCTCTCCTCATCTCCAGAGCTGGACAGAGGAGGGAACTGGAAAACGCAGACATGGCAAAGTTGCTTTGCACATTCACCGCCTTCTTTCCTTCTCCCCTCGGTTAAAACCCACGCGTTCCCTCCCGAGTGCTTTCACCTGCCCCGCCCTTCCGTGCTGAAGGTTGGTTTGTACTTTCAGAGTTAGAGTGGAAGAGACATTTAGAGTTCGCTCAAGACCCTCCGTGGCAAATAGCTAGACGCCTCTCCTTGCTCATGTCTCCTGAAAAATAAGGGTCATCCTTCTGCTCAGCCCCCACTTAAGAACCCTAGCTACACTTAGTTCCTCCCCCCTGCTTCCTGGCAGCTAGTCGCTGATTCAGCCTCCTGGTCCCAGGTTAATCTTATTTAACCAAACAAATGTAACACATCTTTGCATTGTTAGGAAAAGCAGCAGAAACAAATGTTACACACCTTTATACAAATGTTGCACAACTTTACACAAATGTTACACACCCTTACACAGTTAAAATAATATTCCACAACAAGGAATGTATCCATTTTCTTGAAAACTAGGTAGTGTTCACAAGCAAACCAAGCTTTCTCTACTGTGAGGTAAGATTCTACAAGAGGGCACACGTCATAAAATTGCTCTAATTGATAATGAGAAAATAGAGGGATAAAGTTCGCAGAAGCCTGGAAATATGTGCAATTTTAGTGTTTTTATGTATCACCTGAAAAACTTAACCTAATGAATTTTTTAAAATAGTAAAGTCAGTCTTTTTGTCTCTAATGCTGGGGATTAATGATCTACCACCAAGCTATATCCCCAGTCTCCAAATGGTGAAATTCAGATATTTTGAAGACCTCGGGGACTAATTAATCTAGCCTTTTAGCAACAACAGTTGATGAACTCAGAGAAAACCTGTGTGGTGCGCTAGAAGTGAAGGGAGATGGCGCCATCTAGTGTCTGGCATAGGGATCAAACAAGCATCCTGTTGGGCCTGTGTCCGCATCCCTGCCTGTCCCCGCTCCAGTGACCCACAGACACTGAGATGTTCTTTAGGCTCGTCAGAGATAAATAGCGACACGTCCCTGTGATCTTAGCACTTGGGAAGGCTGAAATAAATAGAGTTTTGATGATAAAACATAAACAAGCGCTCTCACACCGGAAGAGCCCTATAGACTGGGTTTTCGCTAATGATTTAAGGAAAACAGTTGAGCCCCAGTAGCCCAGCTAGCTTAAATTCTTCTAATCTTAATGTTGGAAAATGTTCTCACAGGTTCTGAAGTACATTATAGCTGCAGCAAAGCCTTAAAAATGATTTAAGGTTAGAGTAAGATGTTTTGTCTGCTAGCTTTGAGGTAAAATAACCAAGAAGACAACCTAAAGTTTTGGAAAGACACAGAGTTGAATGAAATGCTCATTGAAGTCAGGAAACAAGGACGAATCAGCCCAATTATTATTAACTGACTTGTCTTTCTTTCTCCAGTGGATCGATGACCAAAGGTGATGATTAATTCCTTGTGCTCACTCATGTCCTCATCTCCTGATATAAAATCTATTGATGAGAGAGTGTGCACCCTGAAGATTCAAAGTAGAGCTGACTGGTTCTTTTTCATGTATAAAAGTTTAGGTTTATGATTTATTTAAGATTTCTTATAAGATTGCCTTTCAAGACAAGTAGTAAAGTGATTGCTCCTTTCTTTGTAACCAGGAAACACAGCCTGCCAGTAAAAGAATACCGTGTTTGCTCACACCATTGATCTTTAACAAATTGCTCGGGTATGAATGTACATGAGTTCTTGGGATAATTTGTTTTTCACCTGAAATGTATAAAATGTTTAATCATGTAGGGACAGGGAAAACATGCTGGTTTTAAACTTTTATTCCTTGTAATCAATCACTTGACAAAC